AAGTGCATTGTAGTGTTACATTGTTGTTGGCTGATTGGTTGGTTGTATCGTTATCGCAACAATGATTATTATTTGCATAATAAATTAATCGAATAAATGGTTAGTTGGTTGAATATTCTTAAATATGGCAATATGGGTTTACCCACACTGCAGATGATGCATGTTTGCCTGCTTTGATTCTGTATTAATTGTAAATCGTGTGAACTAGTTTTTCTCTGTAGAATATGTTAAAAATAAAAATGTTTTCTGTGGGAAATTGCAATATGGTAAATGCTGAAAAGGGCATTTCATGTGTGGGTTTTTTATTTTATCAACCACAAACACTTGCAGTTGTGGTTTTAAAATATTTATATACCATGCACCATAAGATGATATTTTATATATACAAATCCATGCAATTTCCAATATGTGCTTTGTAATCAGGCTTGGGAAAATTCAATTTAGTATCTTAGGGTCATAACACATAAATCGGACATTTTTACATACTTTAGGCTGGCATTTAACCGTTTTTTTTTTATCGGCGGTCCTTCCATTTAAATTTGAAATATAGTCTCCTGAATTGTTTACTTCGAAATTTCGGCAACTTTGTGATTTCAATTCCCATCAATTTTATATCTAATGTTAGAAGTTGTCCACAGCTTGCAAGAGGAAAAACATTATTAAGGTCAGTTGGACAAAACTTTTTATACACTTTTTATACATTCAAAATTCCTTAAAAAGACAATTCCTTAAAAGGAAACCGAAAATTATGTGAGACCTTTGTTTAAATGAAAACATGGGGCTATATTGGAAATTTTCAATGAATATCTTTCTTCTTATTCACAAGGAATACGGTATGCAAAATTTCAATTAAAATATACAAAACAGGAATTAAGTGGGTCCTGTATGCAACATTTTCTAAAATCCCGGAATTTTCTGCATGAACACGGAATACAAAATCAAAATCATATAAAATGGGGCGGGACCTGTGTATCGATGCTATGTGAAAACATGGATCTTTATTGGAAATTGTCTGCAAATAACCGTAACGCCAACTCACATTTACTTCGATTGGAAAATGTGGCTAAAACCTTCAAAATACAGAAAATGGGGTGGCACCGTTAGATGCAGGCATACCAAAACATGGACCTATATTTAAAATTTTCTTCGAAGAATCGACCAACATAAATAGGACCATACACAAATATGTAATTTGGGCCGAGAGCTATAAGAGCTATGTGAAAACATTGACCTATTTTGAACATTTCTGCAAATATATCATTTTTAAAGCTCTGAAAACCCGGAATAACAAACTACAGTCCATTCAATCGATAAATGTGATTAAACCATAAAAATACTGAAAAATGCATCCTCCTATTTCTTTTTTATTAAAAATAAAGAATAATATGTAAACCAGTGAGCGGAGCAGTATAGTCGGACGGGGCCGACCATACGATACCCTACACAACTACCACGGAACTCAAATTTTCTGCGGATGTTTATTCCGAGCCTGGGCAATATTTCGTGATATTTGCACCCTCTTGTCCGATTAGAGGCACCTCTTCCTCACACTGACATATTTTCCGAATATTACGATTATTCAGTACAGATATTGTCCAGATTCCCTTCACCGTGGGTTGTGTTGTGATATTCGGCTTTCATTTGAGGTCTATAGATCGACTCGAAAATAACACAAACAATTAAGTTTTCAGTCCACTTCATTCCAAAATTATTATCTGATCATAACCGAAAATTATAGGCGTTGTCCTTGACCATAACTGGAACCTCATGGAACATTTCAAAGCGATCAGCGCTATAGTTCCGCGCCCTAGAGTGATAATGGGTTACTAAATAATATACGGATACGGAGATACCTGTAAATATTAAGGTGTATCTCCCACATCCGAGCACATACAACAATATAATTGGTATTATTTTAAAGGTCAACCACTCCTCTTGGATATAATATCAACTTCTAGGGTCTATGTCCTTCAGTGGTAAATATATACGCTATAGAATACAAATTTTGTCATTTTTCACACAAAAGTCAGGGTCCATTTGACCCGCTAAATATTGACCAATCTTTATCAAAACAGGCATGCTTATTCTTTGGCACGATCCCCTTCTCCATGCAAAATTTCACGATGTTCGGGCCATTATTGCGGCCTCTGGAGCGACCAGAAAAACCGACAAAAATTTAGTATTTGGTCCATTTCATCCCCTAAATATTAACCGATCTTTCCCAAAAACAATAGGGGTCTTCATTGGCCAGAACCCATCCTACATGCAAAATTTCGTGAAGATTGGTCCAAAACTGTGGCCTGTATCGTGTTTACAAATTATAATGGACAGACGGACGGACGGACGGACACACATGTCTAGATCGACTAAGCTAGTCGAGATATGACGATCGGTATACTTAAAGGTGGGTCTAGGACCAATATTTCGCGGCGTTACAAACTTTTGGGGCTGCACAAAGCTATAATACCCTGACAACATAGTTGTGTAGGGTATAAAAACAAGCGATTTTACTCAATGAAATGAAATCGGACGGAATTACACATACCATTTTGAAATCTATGCAAAATTGGATGTCAATTGGGCGGACTTGCATTCTTTGGCATACCATGTGTATGAAGTCGAGCTAAATTATGTATGGGAGCTATATGTAAATCTGGGCCTGGAAATGAACAACCGAGGCATACATAATTTGGTATGCTGCGCTGTTCACTATTTTATCTCGCTAGGAGAAACCTTTATTATTTGGTCCACAAATTGGATGAACTCAGACGGAAATATCTGCATCTACATCTGAATATATTTTACAAAATCCAATAGGATTATTTTAGCTCCAATTTGGTACGTTGGGTACAAATTCATCCCAATCGGAATACTTTTAGTTACACCATTTGGATGGCATCGGATGGAAATATATACTTAAACAACATCTAAACTTGAACCGATTTCATCAACTTTCGATTTTAATCCAATACTATATGCAATATTTCATGTAAAGCGAACAAGCATAGGCTCCCCGGACGGAATCGGACGAAGCTATATATTGCAGCTATATATATATATATATATATATATAAAATCGGACGAAACTATTTATTAGAGCTATATCTAAATCTGGACCGATTTCAAAAAAATTTCACGTACGTCTATGTGGGCCTAACTCAGTACGCTTTGCAAAATTTTTTCTTTAATCAGACGAATATTGGGAGTTTGGTGCACCATTTACATAAAAATCGCACGAAATAGAAATTTGAATCAAATTTTATCCAAATCGGATCATAAATGCTACAGGTCGCACAAATCAGTTTTTCAATTCGCTTCAATTTTTTTCAAATATGGGTCCTTGTGGTTAGGTTGTGCAAAGTTTGGGTCAAACCCGACATTCCATTCGCCTAATATTGGATTTGTAAATATCGACAATTTATGGGGGATGTACCTTACTTGCTCTCAAAAGTTTACAATGTTTGGTTCGAATCGGATAGTTCGTTCCCATGATATTATTAAATATTTCATTGCACAATATTGACCATTTTATGGTGGAGGTATCACAAGGAATCGACCAATATTCCCCATCTTCGAACTTGAACTATGCTAGGAAGAAATATTACGATGTGGAAAGTTTGGTTGAAATCGGTTACTCACTTCGAGTGTTATCGTTCGCACCAGCCAGACAGACGGACGGACATTTGTAAATCAATTCGAAATTGTCTGAAACGGATTTTGTCCAGACAAACATGGGAAAATATTTCGATGAAGCATGTTTTTGGCGTATCAAAGTGTATATACCATCATATTTTAACATGTGGTACGAACCTTTAGTGGTTATGGTTAGTAGAGGATTTACTATACCGCTAATCAATATTATCCGAATATTAATCAATTAGGGCGATTTTCTATCCGATGAGAACAAAAAATTGTAGTCAAATCGAATTATATTGGGTATCCCGAAAAATGTGCAGTAGGGAAATTCAGTTGAAAAATTTGCCCTAACAAAAGTATATATCCAATACACCTTCAGAAGGTATGTAGGGCAAAAAATTGATCTACTTTCTATATTACAACGTGGAAAAAATTTTACTTCATCATTCAAACACTACAACTATTTCATTCAATCCCCCTCTAAAAAACATATCAAATTTTCACTTGCTCCATATTGTTTTAATCAACATACGAATTGTCACCAATAAACATGAAATATTTCTACATTCCAATCGAAAATAGTAAAATTTTTTTAATTAACCATGGCTAAGGCATTCAACGTAAAAAGAGAAAAAAAAAATAATAACAACAACATTATTCATAAGTTACTGTCACTGCCAGAAAGACTTTTGATTGATATGACGACGCTGTTTATTGCCGGTTTGCCGACTGACATACATACAAACATTGTTTTGTTTTTTTGGCATGAACTGTGCCAAAATAGGGTGATGACTGCTGGGTTTTGTTTGTGTGTCGTTTCGCTTCGTTTTAGTTTGGTTTTGAGGTTTTCATTTCTTTGTAAGGTGCAATTGCGAAAATTAAAGTTCATTAATGGAGAAACAGCAAATTTAAACGAAAACAATTTTTATGTTATTTTGATTGGTGTGTTTTTGTTTTCTTTGTCTTTCTTTCTAGAAATATTATTTATCATTCTAACAGTGTACCGGCATTTTTAATAAGGCCAAATAGCAGCGAAACCCCCAAACACGAAATCAGTTATTAACGAAGATAGGGGAAATACAAACTATTGTCTAATAACCGGCGAAGTAGGAACTCAAAACAACATCGCGGCAATATTGGATGCCCCCAAACTTTAAGCTGATTAAAACAGAGGAAACAAATACCAATCAAACACGCTGGATTCATAACCACCAACATAGCGGAAACAAAAACATCTCTGCAAACCAAATCGAAATTATAATAGCAAATCATTAAGTGATTATCTTTGTCGTCATTGTTTTTAATTTCGGGATTTGTTATTTGACCGAAAAAAGAAGAAGAAGACGAAGAAGGCACAAAACCACATTTGTTGACGAACGTGTGAAATGCTAACGAGCCATCGTCATCATCATCATGACAGCCTTTAAGTTAACAGAAGTGAAAGCTGACATCTTCCAAATTCCACAGACGTATTCGTTGGCCTTTAGCAGCACCGCCGATTTTTATGCCGAAAAGGGTAAATTAGCATGGAAGGTGGGAGTGATTTTTGGCCAATACGATAATCTCAGTCGCCAATATATTACCAGTGGAAATGTTGCCGTCATGGAGGATCATGCCCGTTTCATATATTTGCTGGTGACCAAAGACAGCATGTATCACAAGAGCAGTTATGCCAATGTGGAAGCATCGTTGATATGTTTAAGACATCATATGGTAAGTCCAATTGGATGTACGTATAAAATAATAGTATTAATTTCACATTTTAAAATGTGAGAAGCATGTTACCTGTAATAGGCGATAGATTACACTATGTAATGGTTGTGGAGCTCATGGTCTGGTATGAAAATTTCCCTATTAGGATCTAAGCCGAGTATATTATGAAACCCGAAGCTCAAATTCGCCATGGGTCAAGTTTAAGAGTTATGGCGTTTGGAATCTATGCTTTTACTCAATTTTTGTGAACAAAATACTTTATATCACTTAACATGTAAAGGCAATAAGTTCAAATTTTAACATTGTACTTGGCGTATTTTGAAAACAACAACAAGTGATAGCTTTTTGAACTTGTCGGCATCAATATCTCAATATATAGTGGAATTTGAATGCCATATTACAGCCAATTCGGTTGAAAAACGTGCAAAAAATTCTCAATATACCTAAACTTGGACCGTCCGCCTGTCCATGCATTTTTGTGAACAAATTACGGGTGGCATTTATGATCCGATTTGGATGAAATTTGACACATGCTACCTTTTTGGCCCATGTACGAACCCTTTTGAAATTGGAGAAAATCGATTCAGATTTAGATATAGCTCCCATATATAGCTTCGTCCTATTTTATGTAAATGGAGCATCATGCTTGTTGAAATATGTTCAGATTTAGATATATAATCCATATATATTTCCGTCCGATTTTATATTTGTTCTATAGTTAAGTTTTATTTCGGTTCAGATTTAAATATAGCTCACATATATACTTTAGTCCCATTTTATGTAAATGGTGCACCATAGATCCTGTTCAATTTGCACGATATTTTGTTGTTGAAATCGGTACAGATGTAGATTAAGCTCCCTAATATATTTTTTTCCCGATTTTATGCAAATGGAGGAGCCTTTGTCTGTTCGCTTAGCAGTAGACGTTTCAGGTTTAGATACAGCATCCATATATATTTTCATCCGTTTTCATCAAAATTATGTACCAAATAAGTAAAGTTTTTCCGCTTAGGATGAATTAGTGCACAACATACCAAATGGAACCTAGAATAACGTGTATTGGAGTTTATGTCGAGATAAAATTATATATAGGTCTTATACATATTTTGCTCGATGATTGACATTCAATGCTTCATAAATTACAGATTGGTATGTGTATGGGTGGTTTTAATTTAGATCAAATATCTATGTACTTCATACAGTTAATTTCGTCCGATACAACTTCGAATGGTCCTCCAAAGATGATATGTCTAATTTACCTAAAGAATATGTGTATGTAAAATGAGAATCCAAAATACTAAATTACAGCCAATTTGATTAAAAAGCGTGTTTAAATATACCAAATATTGGGGGCTAATAACAAAATACTGTTATATAGGGGCTACATCCACAATGAAAACACAAAATAAAAAATTACAGCCAATTCGATTGAGAAAGATTCCCATAATCACAAAAATAACGAATATTGAGAGCGTACCATACTGTATGGGTTACTCTGAAACTTGAGTCAATATTAATAACTTTTGGTAGTGGGATTTGACACCCAATGAGAACCCAAAATGCTTACTTACTGAAAATTTGATCGAAAACGTATCCAAAATACCGAATATTGGGGAACCGTTATATGGGGGTTACCCTGAAACCTAGGTCAATATTAATCGTTTTTAGTACGGATATGTGCTATACAATGAGAACCCAAAATACCTAATTACATCCAATTTGGTTGAAAAATGTGTCCGAAATCCCCAAAATATCGAATACTTCTTGATACCGTTATATGGGGGCTAATCGTGATCCGACATATCCCATATCACATGCAATACCAAACATCCTGGGAGTATTAGCAATGTCTGTTCAGAGCTCTATCTTAAATATTGCGGTCTCTATCGTGATTTCAGCAGACAGACGCATAAATCGAGAAAGAATTTTATTTTGATCAAGAATATATATACTTTTTGTGTCTTCGGTGAATATTTCGAGATGTTGTAAACGAAATGACAAATTTAATATACACTCCACATTATGGTGAATCATAAATCCAATCGGTAAAGATCGGTAAAGATCGGCTATATCTTCAAGAGTTGTTCAGATTTCCACTTGACATTTTATAGGGACATTCTTGAATTAATGTGGGTTCGAATTAAATACCAAAAAAAAAATCAATTTTTGAAACCCTGAATGGGGTCCCCTTATGCAAACTGATTCTCTTTGATCTATGTTCAATGCAGTACAAACTTTCGTGCTAATCGGAGAAACGTTAGGCTTTGGGTACACAATTTACGAAAAGTCGAACGAAAATATATTTTGGAATCATAACTTTGTCTGAATCAATTTCAATAGAGTTCGTCTTTGTGTCAAAGAAGTATTTATTATAAATTTCATCGCGATTGGACAATAATTACGACCTGTAATTTTTTTTTATCAAAATACATTGAAAACTTACGGACGAGCATTCATAAATCGATTCCTCAAAAGTAACAATGATGGGTCTATTTTGTTTCCTTTCGGTGTGTAGGGTTTAAAAAGGCAACAGGAAACATTAAGAAGTAATACGGGATTTAAGTTCCTTCGGCTTGAGGACATGTTGAATTTGAAAACGTCGTTTGGCCGGGTGTCACTTTTATACCCTCCACCATGAGGTGGACACTCAATATACATAAAATCGATTGGGACATTTATATGGGGCCTTTGCCGCTCCGAAGTTCCGGATAATTGGAGCCTACCCGACAGCTATTTGTATGTAGACTACTTTTAAATATGGGATATTGTCTTAAACATGAAAATTAGATCCAATTCGGTTGGAGAAGGAGTCCGAAATAATCAATATTTGAGTTCCGTGATATGGAGGCAATACCAAAACTATGGTCCATATATACCATTTTTAAACATTTGTCTCATCATATTTTAGATCTATTGAAATTTAATTTCTCTGCGTAGTGGAGTATCATATGGTCGGTTCGCCCGACTATTGTATTTGCATAACCTTTTTATTCAATATTTTTTCCTTATTATTTTCAGCAAAGTCATGGAGTTCACAAAGTTGCAATGCCCCGTATATGTTGTGGCAGTGATGGCTTGGAATGGCCGAAAATAAAAAAGATGATCTTGGCAATTTTCGGTCGTGAATACAATACCGAAATTATGATTTGCAATTATCGTCCCGAAAAGGTAGGTTTTCTCAGAATCTGCATATATAATTATACTAATATTCACCATCGAAATTTATAGTTAACCGTTCCGAGATGTCGTTTCACAGAACAGCGTGGAAGCAATGTTTCAGCGCCGGACAATTGTGCAGTGGTACACACGATTAGTGCAGATTTTGCCATGTGTCCGGGTATTGGTGTCCAATTCAATTGCAAAAATACCCGTGTTACAGAGCAACTGCGACAGGATAAGCATACCGGCAATGTGGCCGTGTTGAAAGATCAAAATCGTTATGTTTACAACTTGGTGACCAAAGAGCGGAATCATGAACGTGGAACATATGTGGCATTGTTTTATGCTCTAATTGCTGCGCGAGATCATATGGTGAACAAATTACACAATCTAAAATAATAATATTCAAATTTATAATAATTTGTTTTTTTTTTCATTCAATAGCGTAAAAATGGTGTCACCAAATTGGCCATACCACGCTTGGGTTGTGGCATTGATCGCCTGGATTGGTTGCGCGTTAAAGATATTCTGGAAATTGTCTTTGTCGAAGATGCGGTTGAAATCAGAACATATGCCCACGAACCAATGGTGTCGATGGCCAGTCGAGAATCCCTGCACATGCATTGTACGTCATGTAAGAAGGCTTTCTGACAGGGTCGCAAACCATCAAAGCCGCTGCCGCATAGAAAACCACCCATTTGGAAATAATTATGTGTTGTTAAAGCTTTAAAATCAACAAAAAATTACTAAAACTAATTTAGAAATCTCACTTGTTCTATGACAAACATAGTTGTCATCGTCAGAATGAATTATACTGGCCGCGAGGAGAGTTGAAAATGGCCACACAGTTCTGCTAACGATTTGAACCAAAATTCAAATGTTCAAAGATTATTTTTTATGGCAACATCAGAAACCGTGACAAATTGTGACAAGGGATGGATGACAACAACCACAATGATGTCACATTTTATACGTTTCTTTTTTTCGCACCTGTAACCACTTTCCATTGTATTATTGTAATTAACTTAACTGAAAATAAATAAAATAAAAACTTCATATATATTTATGTTTGTTTTGTTGGAATAATAAATATGTAAATATATATATGGATATGTAAACAAATTAAAAACGTATGACATTTTTTGCTGTGTTTTGATTTCATTCAACTGTGATGCAGTAGCAGAACGAAGGCAACCATTTTATGACCACATTTAATAGCTTTACGGTGGCAAAGATGATACTAAATATTTTGAATTGATAATAATGGGGTGATATTGTTTGTATATATCTACGAAGCAGGGTATGGATTACATTTGTATATTTGTTCATTGTATATTTGTTCATATCAATCTCTAGGAAAGAAGATAGACCCGTAGTATCTTTTCCCTGGAGGCTATACATAAAGCGGGTCCAATATTGATTACTTCGTGTAGGAATTATCATTATATTAGGAGTTATGTCTAAGATAGAATAGAATGAAGATAGAATGATTAAAACAGATGGATGCATCTTCTTCGAATTCCATACATTGTAGGGTATGAACTGACAATTTCGAGTTTAGAAAATCGCCCTAATATGCACTATGGCTGAAATCGCTATTTTTGCGGCATAAAATATTAGGTTGAGGAAAAAGAAATCCATTATTTTTTCGTCAAAAATGTCGATAAAATCGGACATCGCCCAAGAGGTAAAAATTAAACAGTTTTAAACCATTTACACAAAGCTGGATTGACAAAGAAGCTCGATGTTTAAGTGGCATACCAATTAACAGAAAAAAGGATGGATCGAATTTCCATCTGCGAAGTCTTGACCAAACGAAATGAGATAGACCCATTTCTTAAACTGATGGTGACTGGAGATGTGAAATGGATCACATACGATAACTCTGTGCGAAAACGATCGTGGTCAAAGAGCGGTGAAGCACCTAAAACGGTGGCCAAACCAGGACTAACTGGAAGAACATTCTGCTATGCATTTGGTGGGACTGGAAGAGGATTAATTATTATGAGTTGGTTCCAAATGACCAAACGCTAAATTCTGATCTCTAGTGTCAACAACTGGACCGTTTGAAGATAGCAATTGACCAGAAACGGCCAAAATTGGCCAACTGGAGTGGTGTCGTGTTCCACCACGGCAACTCTAGGCCACACAGATCTATAGTGACTCGCCAGAAACTTCGGGAGCTTGGTTGAGAATTTTTGATGCATCCACCATACAGTCGGACTTGGCAACAATCGATTGCAAAATTTCTTTAATGATAAAAAATTGGTATATAGGGAGGATTATGAAAATCGACTACTAGAGTTTTTTTTCAAATAGAGAGCAGGACTTCTACGAGAGAGGCATTATGAAGTTACCTTTAAAATGACAACAAAACTGTACATATTTCCCGATAAGCAAGCCTCACCAAATTTGTGTAGAATTATAATGATAGACCACGCCCCCTGCATGTGGATTTGTTTTCAATCGAATTGGCTATAATTTTGAATTTTGGGTTCTATTTGTATAGAAGATCTCCGTACCGAAAACAATCAATATTGGATTAGTTTTTCTGGAAGCGCCCATATAATGGAATACCCCATTATTCAGAATTTTTAGGCTTTTGTGTAGGTTTTTTAACCGAATTGGCTGATTTTATGTATTTTAGAATGTAATTGGGAAGCATATCTTCCTACCCCAAACTATAAATATGGGCCAATTTTGTTAAGGAGTAGTCTTCATATTTCGATATTAAGGAGGGTTTGGGCATGTTTTTCAAGCAAGTTGGCTGTAATTTTATAATTTGAATTTCCATTTATTTGAATGACTGATGCCACAAGAAAGGGCGCATCGAAACTATCTGAAGTATTTTCTAAAAATGTTTGTTTAACTAAACTGTGACCGGTTGAACTATTAGACCCGTAGCACAAAACTAAGATCGATTTTTCAACATCAATCAATCAATTTCACAAAAAAACAATATATATACGAAATAGAAACCTTTTGCCAAAGTATTTTTTTATATAGTAAAAATTCTGAACTCGAGTATTGAAATTCATGTTTACCAACATATTTTTCGAAGAATATTTTATTAAAAAAACGTATTTTAATATTACGAAAAATTGCTGCTATGGTGGAGAGTATAAAAGGAAAGACAAATTTAACATTGAACTAGAACATTGATTTATCAGCAGTTATTTATTTTCGTATACATACCCATATCACAGGTTTCATAATTTCTGTGAAAATTTGCAGTTAATACTTTTATAATTTTGGTAGGAATTGCTGCCCATAAGTTCAAAATGCATAAAAACATTTGTTGTATTAAGGGGAGCCCCATTCTCGTTGTCCAAAAACGTAATTTGGTTTTGTGATTTTTTCGAATCAAGAATGTCCCTATAAAATTTCAAGTGAAAATGTTAAGAACTCTTGAAGTTACAGTCGATTTATTGTGTCAGCATCAAGTGACGGCAAGAGTGATTCTCAAACTTTAAACGAATTTTTCTCGAAGCAGTGTTTTTACGAATGGCGGGCACGATAACTCAAAAACTAATAATCCAATCGGTTCCAAATTTTGACACGTTTCTCTGGGAGTGTATAGCTATCATATGAACTAGGATAAAGCCAATCATTGAATAACTTCCTTCCTTATAAACCTTAACATGCATTGGTATTCATTTACCAGCCCAATCGTGAAAATTTAAAATCGATAATGGGGGAGGTCCCTACAAATTGTCGTAATATTTATTATAAATTAAAATATCCCAATTGCTCATAGCTGTCATATTTTTGGTAGGGAACTATTTAGAATTCTAATGTATTTTGTAGTATACTTTAAGGAGAAGTAATTATTTTTTCGTCCAAAAGTAGGTTTTATGAGAAATAATCTTGATTTAGTATTTAATTTTGTATGGTAAATCGAGGTAAATTAACATATATATGTATATGGATATATGGCAAATTTAATATACACTCCAACTTATGGTGGAGGATATGAAAAGTTGAGACTATACAAATAGTGGAGTTAATCGATTATACTTTAATAAATAAAACCAGTACCTTCAAAATCTTTAAAATTAGAATTTTTTTATAAGCGGTTGTATTTATATAATGTCGGAAATATGTATGGGGCCAAATATGTATGTTAGGGCAACTCTATGAGAGAAGTCGGTCAAAATCTTAAAAATACCGAAAATGGAGCGGGACCTGTATATTCTAAATTTTGGTAGGAAAATTTTACACCACATGAGAAAGTACCGAACTATGGACTATACAGTTATACGGAAACATGGACCAATATTGATCATTTTTGGTAAAGAGATTTGGATCATCCAAAATAGTAATCGAAGTTTGGTGGAAACAGTGGACCAAACTCCCCAAAATACCGAACATTGTGGGTACCGTTATATGGGAGCTATCTTAAAGAGTGGGCCAATATTGATAATTTAATAGGATTCATTCTACCAAATAAAACAATCAAATGCCAAATTATAGCCGATTAGATTTAAAAACTTGCCCCACAGCTTCGACAAATTTGGAATATTGTTAAATGGGGGATATTTGGAACCTTGGCGGAATATAAAATTACGGCCATGATAATTTTAATCAGGGAGATTTTCTGCTCAATAAGTATACATAATATTAAATTAGAAGCAATCCTCTTTAATATTGGGGGTACCCTAAAAAGTAATCCAAAATTCAACATTTTCAATACCAAATGTGTTATGAGTAGTAGAAATTATGTGCAAATATCAAAGTTCTGTCTTAAATCTTGGATGGTATAAAAAGCTAACATAATATTTGGGTACCATTGTATGGAAGTTTTCTAAATATATTGAAAAACATTAAATTAAATCCGAAAGTCAAGCTTATATGTGCATTTAAATTTATTTTCCACGAATTCAATTATTAATAAACTTGTATCCACCGAAACTTTAGAAGCCAAAAATAGAAACAAGACTCGCTCATAAACTTCAATTTCTAAATTTTACAAACATCTGTACACTCCACCTTATGGTGTATGGTCCTTCGGCGATGTACTCAAGTAGTACAAAGCCGATATTATTACCTTACAGAAATGCGATGGAAAGGAACTGGCGTAAGTAAATCAGATGATTTAACTGCCATGCAGCCAAGGTTCGCACTCTCTTAATGTAGCAGCAAAGGTGCGATCTAATGTAACACGGAAACTCGACGTCGAAATGCTGCAAATGCAACTGATTGCAGAAGTCTACTCCGCTCAACTTACCCAACTGCTTGATGAAAGCTCTCCTCTTCCCGATAATAATATAGAAGCACAGTGGCAGAGAATTGCTCACTTCCTACAAACTGCAGCAAAAGCCACACTTGCGTACCAAAGACCACCATCAAGAAATCCGTGGTACGATCAGGAGTGTCGTAATGCTACTGATATGAAAAACGCAGCGTATGGGACAACCATGCGGACAGTAACAGCATATAATGCGAGGGAGAATTATCGGGAGAAAAGGAGAGAGGAGAAACGAAATTTTGCTAACGAGTAAAACAACAGATCGACGGCTTTGTTGCAGGCACATCCTCCTGAAGAAATGAAGATGGAAACCTGGTGACAGATACAGACAGCGTGTTCAGGATATGGAAGGAGTATTTTAAAAAACTTCGGTTATCAAATAGTAGCGATGAAGAAGATACCCCAGAAACAGGCCATAAAAGCAATCAATCGGCTCAAGAACAATAAACCAGCAGGAACCTATGGGTTACCAGCCGAACTATTC